TTGTAGGTTTGTCAGCCTCCATCTAGCGAACAAAGTGGCCTTCTAAGAGCTGATATTGCACCCGGCAATGTGAAACTTAGGTATGTCTTTCGTTTCGAGCAGTGAAACGTGACTGTCAACTATTGATGCGTTTGAATCTCAACCGTCCATGGACATTGAACTCTAATGAAGGTTTTCAAACACTATTAAATTATTAATTTGTTTTTGGATTTAATTTTAAGTATTTATTAGCAGGATGCCAAGACTCCTAATTGATGGTCCCTATGGTGCTCCAGCACAAGACTACAAAGAGTACGAAGTCCTTCTACTTGTGGGCCTAGGAATTGGGGCCACTCCTCTGATTAGCATAGTCAAAGATGTGCTTACCAACATTAAGCAACAAAAGGAAACAGAAGATCATCAAGGGAATAAGGTAGAGAATAATGGTGCTAACAAAGACAACAAAGACAACAAAAGAAAGTCTTTTGTCACCAAACGAGTTTACTTCTATTGGATCACAAGAGAGCAAGGCTCGTTTGAGTGGTTTAGGGATGTGATGGATGAGGTGGCTGAAAATGACAAAGATGGTGTCATCGAGCTCCACAACTACTGCACAAGTGTGTATGAAGAAGGAGATGCTCGATCAGCCCTAATTACAATGCTTCAATCTCTTAACCATGCCAAAAATGGCGTCGATATAGTTTCGGGTACTAGGGTTAAGACGCATTTTGCTAGACCAAATTGGCGCAACGTTTTTAAGCATGTAACTGTTAAGCACATGAATCAACGAGTTGGTAAGTTTTAATTTTTGGAGAGAATCGAACCCTTAACTTGAATTTCGAAATTCTTAAAACTTGGTCAAAATGACCATACATGGACTAACAAGCTCTGTCTTTTTTTATCTGTTTTTTAGCAAAACTAAGGAGTAAAAAGAATCGTTTTTCTTGCTTCGCTTTTATTATAAATGTCTTGTATATTAATTTGGTTTTGCTTTGTCCTTTTGTTGCAGGAGTATTTTACTGTGGTGCACATGGATTAGTCGGAGAGTTAAGGAGGCTTTCTCAAGACTTTTCCCGGAAAACTGAGACCAAGTTTGATTTCCATAAAGAAAATTTTTGAAAACCTAATGATCTCAGATTCATACAAATGCTATGACTTTATTCCATTAATTTTAATTTTCCACTTGTACAGTTGCAAACTCGAATATATATCAACAAGGTTTTAGTTCCTGCTTGACTGATGAAGTTGTGTTTAAGTTTCTTGCGTATTATTCAAAGATGCTAATTCTTGCTTTGTTATGACAAATTGTTTTAGAAAAAAAAAGAAAAAAGCAGATTAAAAGCAGAAAAAAACTGAACCACTATTTTAACAGTTAAATAAAGGCTAGCTTTATTCTGAATGCCTTGTAATTGGAAAGTTCTTCCTACAGCTACAACCCATAGGGACCAAATGAAGCAATCCATTTTAAAAAGCTTCTTGTTTTGTTTATTATTCTGTAAAATCGTACCCTTTTCTGTTTTCTTTAAACCCACCAATTGGAAAATAAAACACAACTCAAAATCTAGATGCATGAAGGCAGTTCTTTAACTTTCTGGGGAAGTTTGCCAGTAACCCACAACAAGAAGTTGGTACATGGAAAAATTAGCCCTGCATTTGACCTCCATACTTAGCACCAAAAAGTGTCATTTGATTCTCCGTAGTTTAAATTAGTGTAAAGTAGAATATCACTGTATAGAAAAAAACAGTGTCATTCAGGTTTGATGATTTTGGGAGCTATCTCCAGCATAATGATCATCAGGTAAGTTTTTCCCAAAAATCAAGAGGATAAAAAACACCAGAAGCATAAAAGATAGAATCTTCACATCAGAGCCAAATGAATGCATCTACATCCTCAATGTTTGATTATAATTTTACACAAAAAAGAGAGGGGATTTGGAGTTAGATGGGAGTATTGAATGGTTACTTTGCTGAGCCTTCCTCAGATCAATAAAGTTCTATGATTTGGCATTATAAAACTCCAAATGCCAGTAATCTTAGCTAGCACAGGCATCAAGTCCTATATTGATAGGTGTCAACGAAGTATATATAATCTTTCATTTCATATTAATTTATATTTTATTGTACTAAAATTAATTGTAAAGAATAAAAAAAGAAGAAATGCCACCCCACCCAGCACCAACTTCAAGGACCCCACTGTTTTTTCCACTGTGCTACTCAATTCCCCTCCAGTCACTAGATCTTTCCTCCCCATCATAAAGACCTCACTTCCTTGTGAAGTTTTCCCAGTTGACACTTGCCACACTCATTGCAAGCTCTCGCTCTAGCTCTTTCTTTCTCTCTATACAAAGCGTGCTCTCTCTTTTTCTGTCAATCTTTCCTAATGGCAACAACAACTGAACCCAAGGCAGAAGCCAAAGCTGAACCAAAAGAAATTGAAGAAATTTCTCAGCCTCCTCTCAAATACAAGGTATTTAATGAAGCCATGGTTAACTTCTGTGAATACCAACCTCTGTTCTTTCCAAAAAATGTTTCGACTTTTACATGTTTCTGACATCTTCTTCTCTGTTTTGCAGACATGGGTTTTGAGAGTCTCTGTTCACTGTGAAGGCTGCAAGAAGAAAATCAATAAAACCTTAAAACAAATGGAAGGTATAACCCTCCATCCCTGATATTCTTGAAGCTTCAGTGTCAAGTTTTATCATATGGTTTCTACGATTTCAAAGTTTCGTTGTTTTTCTGACATGCATCTCATTCTTTTTCCTCATACTTCAAATTTCCGAGCTCTCCTCTTCCCCTGTTTTATTATCTTTTCAGTTGGTCATACTGTTCAACTCTCAAATATCGAAGCTTTCGTGAAAAACATGTACTGTTTTGTTGCTGATTTTCTTTGATGTTTTCAGGGGTTTACAAAACAGAGGTGGACATGAGGCAGCAAAAAGTCACAGTAACAGGGAATGTGGAAGCAGAGACTTTGATCAAGAAGTTGACCAAGTCAGGGAAACATGCAGAGCTGTGGCCTGACCCGAAACCTAACAATTCAAACGAAAAAAAGAAAGGTAAAGGGAAAAACAAAGAGAAACAGCAAAGCGACTGTGAAGGCTGCGAGGAAAGCAACCACGGTGGCCCTGGAGGTAGTGGTGACAATGAAAAGGAGACTGTCAAAGTTGAAGGTGGTCATGCTCAAGGCTCTGGTAACAAGAAAAAGAATGAAGGTGGTGGCCCGGCTGGTAATAAGAAAGCTGATGGGGGCAATATGGTCAAACCAAATGAAGGTGGTGGCGCACCCGCTAAAACTGGCGGCGGTGGGCAAGTCAAAGAGTCAAAGCCTGAGGTGGTGAGGCAGGGTGGGAATTTACCTAACCATCCCCCGGTTGCCGAGAAGAAAAGTGGGGGCAGTGAAAGTGATTGCGAGGTTGAGAAAAGTGGTGGAGGTGGCGGCGGTGGAGCTAGTGGCAGTGGAAGTAAAAATAACAAAAAGAAGGGGCCAAAGGGGAATGCCAATGCTGAAGAGGATGAAGGTGAAGAATGTGGTGCTGCTCCACCAAATCATGGCAATGTGCCACGTGGACCACATGGGCCCCATGTTCCTCAGGATCCACATGGCCCACGTGTGCCTCAGGGTCAGGGCCCCTATGTGCCTCAAGGGCATTATGGGCCTCCTGGGCCTTATGGGTCCCATGGGCCTCGTGGTCCACCCTATGGTGCTCACGGACAAAGCTTTGCTCCAGCTCCAGCTAATCACAGCCCTCCACAGCAACATGTGTATGAGTACCAGTACCCAAGCTACAGGCCTGCAATGCAAGCTGTTCACTACAATGCTGGCTTCCCCACCAATAGCTATGGTGCATCTCATTATGATGCACCAGCACCGAACTCACATTCCTTCACTGAGACACAGCCCCCATCCTATCATTTGGACAACTATGCATCTCAGCCGCACTCTCCATATCATCAGCCATCCTACAACTTACCACAGCCGTCCGATTCCTATGGGTTGTTCAGTGATGAAAATCCCAATGGGTGCTACATTATGTGAAGCTTTGTGGTGCAAAGAGGGAAAGGAGATTAGGCCTTCTACTTAGCTTGTATAAGTGCTTTTGGGGATGCTTTGTTATGTGTTATGCAGCTGGTAATGTGGATATGGAAGGAAGCCTAATCTAAGTTTAGGGGAAAATAAGTGGGGTTTAAGGTGGGGTTCTAGGGTTTAGGGTACTTTAAGTAGTTGATCTATGTGCTTTAGCTTTGTTTAGTACTTTTTGGTTTTTTGCTCTTTTAATTATTATTAAAAGAGTTAATTAACTAAGTAGGTTCCTAATTGTCTGTCTCAGAACTTCTTTCTCATGTGTAAAAGTAGATTTTGCAATTTAGCTTATTATTAGATGGTGACTAATTTGCATTTACATTTTGGACATTCAAAGTTGGAGAATTCAATTTTTATATGTTCCGTCCATGTAGACCACGCACATACCACCAACCGTACACGTGGTATACCCGGAACATACAGAAAATACTCTTAAAGTTTCAAACCAACTTACTTTTTGAACCATCTCATTTATTGCACATAAGCTTGATTTCTTTGTAGGACCATTGCAATCTTTCAAATGCTTTTCTTTACTGATGTTAATGGAGAAAAGGGAAAAGAGTAATTAAACTTTAATTAGAGGTGTGCTTAAAAGGATGCTAATTACATTGTGAACTGGATTATTATTTTGTCTCTTTCTGGGCTAAGGAAACCAGATTCCTTGAGCAAATGTTTTTTGATTCTTAATTCTTTCATCTGTGTCTGCTGAAAATGGTTCATGTTGGTCCAGCAGGTTGTGTGGAAGAAGCAAATGTTTAAATTCACCAAATGGAAAAAGTCTCTTGTTCTTTACTATAAACTCAACTCAAAGCATTAAAATAATTGATCTTGTTTGAAAGCCTTACTTTTAAAAGCAATCTCTTACTTCCATTAACCTTTGGAGTCTGTGATGGCCTGTCCTCTTGCTTTACTTTCATTTGTTTTTTCACTTCTTTTTAATCTAGACTTCTACTTTTGGATCAAAAGCAATTTTTTTTGCAGATTAAATTAAAAGCAGTTTTGTACGGTAGTATGGAGGTATTTCTTTATTTCTTTCTTTTGAGAGAGACTGTCTCCTTCCTAGGGCAAGGAACCCACAAACAAATCATGTTCATGATAAGGTCAGAAACCAGAATGCTTGCTATTAGCTTCTGTTTGACTTCAGTTGAACTGTTTTTGACCAGTTTATGAATATTAATTATTACTTAAAAAAAGGGATTAGTCTCACTTATCTGTTTTATCAAGTAGTGCCACTTGGCCAAACTCCACCTTCATACTTTAATCATATTATTAGCAGTGTTTTTATGTTTTGCCCTACCAAATGGTGGATTGGTTTTGTATTTTATTTATAAGTGGGATTTTTTAGGGTCATATCAGTGATAATATGCAGAGGAACCAGCATTTGGTGGGTCCTACATATCTGCACTCCTTTCTGGCTATATTCTCCATTGCCAAATATTGAATGGAAATTGTGAGACTCCCAATTTTCTGCAATTTTGATCATATATATATTTTTTTCTTCTGCAGTTTTAATGTCTGGAAAAAAAGGCTCTTTTTGGGCTTTTATTCCCTTGGCCACTTGATAGTCATTTGACATTCCAAGCTTTGTAAGGAAGAGAACCTCTTTGTTTTATTCTGATTCTTCTCTGAGGTGAGCAATGAACAATTATGGTCTCTCTCAAGGATAATTTGTTCTTACCCTTCCAATCTCCAGAAGAGATAATGGTGTTGCTGTTGTAATAAAAATGTAAATACAAATTTACCTTGGTACAAAGTTATCAGTAAAAAAAGAGATAAACAAGGACTGGACCAATGGTGTTTATGAGTTCCCTGAAACTTACCATTACTTGTACTTCACACAAAGAGAAACAGTAAAAATTCCCACTTTTTTTTTTTAAGATAGAAAAATGCTGAAGCTGCTGAAAAGGGTAAGGCTGGGACAGGCTTTATTATATACAGAAAGACAGGATGAAATATATTGAATCATTGGGGTAGATGAAATTGATTCATAAGAGAATCTTAAACCAAAAACAAATCCACTTCATCTTGATATTCAATCAATTTGCATATTCTTCCTGATAAATTTCTGAGCAATTTCCATTTATCTGGAACCAGATTCCTTCAATCCAATCAAACTTCCATGCCAAGTTAACCCCTTAATTATTCTCAATAATTTGATTGATTTGCACAGGGAAACACAGACAAGTGCATGCCTTCACAAAAAAAATTGTTTTAACTTCTATGTTTTTGACAGAGTTCATTTTGCACAGTAAACAAGATGATAATACACATCAGACTTTTTCTTAATGTTGAACAGTGACTTGTTCTGTAGAAAAGCATTGACAAGACCTTGATTTGCAAACCTTACTTTAAGATAACTAGAAAGCTACACCTACAGATGCTCTGATTTCCCACATAAATTGCTGTTCATCTGCCAAGTCTTATACTTGCAATTAGGCCTGCACTGGACTCCAAGTACATTATCTCCTCTGTCCCTTTTCTAAAATAGTTCAACTTCACAAGGACCAAGATGGCAGATTTCCCATTACACACCATACTATTCTGAATACTGAAGAGTAACTCAGTTTCTGCAGAACAAAAGGAAAGATCAGATTTTTAGTGCCCATGAGGAAAGTTGCTTGAATTATTGAAAAACTGAGTTGGCTTGGCTGTGTGTGCTTGTGTTCATTGGGAGGGGATTTGAAAAGAGAATCAATGGTTAAAACAATAAATTATGATTTAATTATTTTGTGGTGAGGCTAATTATGTTGGTAATGAACACAATCATGGCAAATACAGTGATGCAAGCATCTGAAGATATGATGTCTGATATGGGATTTAGCAATGCCTAATTAGGAGCTACTTAGCTTTTGTGTTCTAGGAAATATATGCATGCATACATAATTACATACACAAATACATGTACCTAAAAGATAATTTTTTAACTAAAGGCTAAGGGTTGTGTCTCTCTGATAGGGAACTATGTCCCATAAACATTGCATATACTATGGATTTGAGCCACATGCTAAGTTGGTTAAAGTGAAAGTGTAGTTAGTTATGAACTTAACCCAAAATTAATATATATATATATATATATGAAAAGTTGAAATAAGCAAGTTTTGAGTTTAAAGTCTAAGTTCATAGATGATTCAAAATGTATCTAATTTTTGAGAGAATAAAGTGTGACTTGACCATAGTTTCAGGGAGCACTACTGTAAATAAATCTTTGATAATATTCTTGCCCTTGTTGACTGTTGAGCACGTGGGACAACTGGTTTTAAAGAGATCATATACCTATCCGTTGTTTACGTAAGCTGTATAAGCCTGAATATGCAGAAGCATCTCTGCTTGACAGCCACAAGCTAACTGAGCTTTTAAGCACTTTTACACAAGCTCTTTTCCCAGATTGATTTGGCAGTCTAATTAGAAATCTTCTGATGTTTAAGTGAATAATGATTATCGTAACTTGCTAACACAGACTGATAATCAAATCACATGCCTTTTTACCTTTAAATAAAGGATAAAAAAAGGTTGTTTTGTCTAATATAACACACAATTTTGGGCAGAAAATTTCCCTAAACAAAAGCGTCACCAGCTAATAAATAGTTAAGGTCCCTTGAAAGAAAAGAAAAATTAATAGTTGAGAATGCTAGTTTCTTCAGTGTAGGCAGAGGTAAAGCGACCTTCAGACCAAAGCTATGAACCACTGAGGAGTTGACAACAAGCCTCACTGTTACGCAGAGGGTCAGAATGAAATGACTGAAAAAAAAAGAGTATCAAAAGGGTCAAATTGCTTCTCAGATCCAAGTTAAACAAAATAACAATCACAAATGTACGACATCATCATTGCTGCCTGAAATTACTGCATTCACTCCTCAGTCACACAGTTACCCGTGACACAACTAGTTTCGAAAGAAAATGATTCATTTGGTTTATTAGTTTCCTTTCTTTTGCTAATCAAAATTTGGTTTTGTACCAATAAGAGTCGTTTGGTAGTTCGATTTGAAATTGATTGAAAGTGAGTTTAAGACAATTTTTATGAGTCTCGCATCTCCAAACAAAACTTATAAACACAATACATTGGAATGTAGCAAACAAAACTCAAATAAGTTGTCCAATTTAATTGAAATGGTAAGTTCAAATCGAGTGATCAAATGATGTTATTGTTCTTTTGTTTACTTGTGGGCAAAATTCAGCCCAATCCCAACCCAATCCCAATCCAATCCAAACCGCAATCGCGCGGAGGATACCTTGGTTTTCACCAAAAAAAACTCAAATAAGTAGTCCAATTTAATTGAAATGGTAAGTTCAAATCGAGTGATCAAATGATGTTAATTGTTCTTTTGTTTACTTGTGGGCAAAACCCAGCCCAATCCCAACCCAATCCAATGAAAGTAACGGCATAAGTGGGCCTATAAATCCCAGCCCAATCCAAACGGTACAAAAAGCCTGGTATTTTGTCTGAGCTGAGTGCATATTCCCGCCAGTGCCAAGTTAGAGTGCCCGCGACTCTTTTTTGTCTGAGAGAGAGTGAGGAAGGGAGAGAGAGAGAGAGAGTCGGGCGATGGAATTTAGTGTGAGCGGGAACGCCCTGAAGACCTTCGCTCGCTCAATCACGTGCCTCGCACGCGTCGGAAACGAGCTCGCCATCCAAGCTTCGTCTTCTCAGGTTCACTAACTTTCCTTTCACTTTCCCTCATTCCAAACACTCCATATAGTCTTTACTAATTCCCGCTCCACGCTTATAATTCGTACTTCTTTTTTGTTCGTTCGATTTTCATCCGAGAAAACTGATAGATTAATTATTTGGTTATTTATCAATTTCTTGCGTCATTGCGGCGTTCAATTTGATCGCAGTTATTTGACATTTTATTATTGTAATTATGATGCCTGATGGTAGAATCATTTTAAATTTTGTTTAAGTATAGATCTCTGGCGTATGATTAGTAATTTATCTTTTGAAAAAATTATCTGTAGGTGAATGATGATAAATATTTAGGGTTTTGTTGCTTATGCATTTTTAGGGTTTTGGAAGAGCATGAGTGGCAGCTGTAAGAATGTAGGGTGCACATAATCGGATATTGCAATGCAACAAATGAGTTCCTAATCATTTGTTATCACGACAGATGCTAAAGATTTTGTTCCCCTATCTATGCAGTTTGCTTTGCACACTCTCAATTCGTCACGGTCTGCCTATCACTCAAGTACATTTAAGCCTGAATTCTTTGATGTCTATACTATATCCTGTAACCAGGTGCAATGTAGTGTGCTTTTGAAGGTAAGGCGTCATGGTTCACCAGAATTGCTTTCTTTAGGCTTGCATACTGTGGTAATCTTACTGACTTAGTCTGTTCAGGCTGTTTGTTCTGTGCTTAGGACACCTTTAGCAAGTATAGATCATTTGAGCGTACGATTGCCTGATCCCGATGCATCAAAAATGCAATGGACTTTAGAATGCTACAGTGGTAAATTATCCTTTTTCATATCTTATCTGTTTTTTCTTTATGCAAAATGGCACATGCACAATTTGTTATGACCAGAATTCAGTCTAACATTTTGTTTGCTGAGTTCACCACTATACACACAATCAGGATCAGGCCTCTGGAACTGTAATTCGAGCACACTGATAGAATATGGATTGCCTAGGATTTTGTTGTTTAGCACACTATACAACTACATTATGCAGCTTTCCTTATCATATGATCTTCTTTTTATTATGTATTGTTTGATTTCCATGGTTTTAAACTTCATACCGACATTTTGCAGGTATGAAAAAATCCTATTGGATTATTTGCAATGTTGAACCAGACATACAACATCTATCTCTTGATAGGAGACGATTCCCAAGCAGCTTAGTTGTGAGACCTCGAGATCTAAACAGATTGCTTGCTAATTTTCAGTCATCGCTTCAGGAGATTACCATCATAGCAACAGAACCCACTTCCGTGCCTTCTGATCTAGCAAGTGAAATTGGAGGAAAAGCTGTCGAACTTAGAAGTTATATTGACCCGACCAAAGGTAATAAAGATTTTGCTTCTCATTTCTGAAATTATCACAAGCAGGATGTTTACGCTTGAATTTTCCAATGACAGACAGCGACTCATCACTGCATACTCAACTATGGATAGACCCTGCAGAAGAGTTTGTGCAGTATACCCACACGGGAGACCCCATAGATGTGACGTTTGCTGTGAAAGAGTTGAAGGTTATTAAATTCAATCCTTGGGACCTGATTGTATTTGAATGTGTTACATTGCCAAAAGCATTGCCCCAGTGACAGCCTCTGCATTTAAACAGACATAACATCCAGCTAATTATTGTTGTTATCATCACAATAATTTTCGTTGGTTGATGCTTTGTAGTAAAGTGTACAAACCTCATAGTCTATTTCCTTTTTCACTGGATGCTTCACATTCTTTTTCTAGAGCTAAATCCTAGGTGCTCTAATTTGTTGTTACATCCGTCTTTTTTCCAATTTATTTCAGGCATTCCTTTCCTTCTGTGAGGGCTGTGAAGTTGACATTCACTTGTATTTTGAGAAAGCTGGAGAGTAAGATATATCTAAGTTCTTCTTATTTTGTTTATCTTCCCTTTGCATTCTTTTTTCTCTGCATCCTATGACGAGTTTCGAGATTCAAGCTAATATGCATGCTACAAGCTGACCATGGTCGATATCAGTCAGAAATCGGAGTAGGTGCCCACATAACTTTCTGTGACATTGTCAACATCACACACCCATACTTCACACTCCCAGTTCATCTTTTATTTGCTGATATTACATTAGAGTGGTCAACTCATGCCCATCTCAAAATGTTGGATTTGGATTGATCATGCCAAATACTTAAGCTAGTTTATAGTATTCCATTTCTCATCTTATTTCGGATTAGAATTTGAAATTATTGTGAGTTTTCACCAGTAAGATATAAATGAATCTTAGGATCAGTTGAATCAGTTGTCTTGACAGTATGTGTAGAGGCAAACATAGTGATTATCTAGTGTCATAAATTTCTGTCTTTGCTAGAAATTGTGGATGGAAGTATTATATTAACCAAAATGTTACTTAAAGATTGGTTAATCATATGTTTGGGAAAGCAGGCCTATTCTAATGGCACCCAAGTTCGGTCTAGATGATGGGTCCACTTCAAATTTTGATGCTACACTTGTACTTGCAACCATGCTAGTGTCGCAGCTCCATGAAAGCAATACCTCAGAACCTCCACAAGCAGCTACTGCAATGCATGTTCAGGAAGATCATGGGACAGGGTCAGAACCAGGACGAGAAAGGTGTGGAACAAATGTTTCGGAGCATCCATCTGATCACACCAGAATTTGGTCTGATCTTTCAGGTAACCCATTTTCGTCAATATCTTAAGAAAGTGACAAGATGTTGTGCTTCTATTTTCTTTAACTTTTTTATTTTGCACAGGAAGTGGTGCAAGAAGTGGCAGTGGTGCCGAAGCAGGACAGGCTCAAGGGGAAAGAAATTTGAGTGCTAATGGACAGAGAGAAATTCAAAGGATGAGCACAATGCATATTTCAAAGCCTGCATGTGCTAGGGAAAGTGAACCTGTGCAGGAGGATCATATGGAAGAACCTCGAGGTTTGTAAGAGGGTAGTTAGGTCAGTCTTGCTCATTTTATACAAATGTAGTAACTAAAGCTTGTGCATTTTGTTGCTTCCAGATAGGTCACAAATTAACGGTGATGGCTTTTCACAACGTCATCCTAGCAACTGGATAGATGCAGATGAGGATGATAGTGATGAGGATGGAGAGGAGAATGAACTCTGTATTCCGTCAACACCACCATACTATGAAGAACATTAGGATTATTTGCTGTAGTAAAGGTTTGCTGAATTTCTTCTCTTTCTTATGTTGTAAGTCCATCTTTCTCCTCTAGTAACATGCTTTACTTTTAATTTCTTTTTTGTCAATTCGATGTTTTGATTTTACATAAAAGCAATTTATGACAGAGGGGTATACATTATGCAATGTTGTAAGTCCATCTTTCTCCTCTAGTAACATGCTTTACTTTTAATTTCTTTTTTGTCAAGTCAATGTTTTGATTTTACATAAAAGCAATTTATGACAGAGGGGTATACATTATGCAAATATTTAAATAGAATTAAGTCCTCAACAACATTTTAGTTGGAGAGTTAGGTCATATAATTAAGTCCTCCGCAATCTTTAGAATTAAGTCCTCCACAACATTAAGACCAGGGTTATTGGATCAGAAATGGTGAAATTGTGTCATAATTTATATGCACCGAAATGTGAAACGATTCTCATTGTTGAAGTAGCCAAACTGGTAAGAGTTAGGTCATATAATTGGTGGGGTTGGATCAAGAATTCACATGCACTATGATCCATCAGTATCATGCAGCAGCAGTTATAGGACCCCCCCCTCTCCCTCTTACTGTTTCAAATATCGCCATAAATGTGAAGCAGATCTTAGTGTTGCTTTTGCATTGCCTCTCTTTTGCAGTGAATTTCTGTCTGTCTCAAGATAGGTTTCCTTTTTCCGTAGGGCTAGTGATAAAAACATCAGGAAATACTCAATTGCAGGAAAAACTCAAGTAGGAATTTGATGTTAAGAATTCTACTCAGCTCAGTCCTCACCTTTCTCTGGATTTGCTTATTTATTCAATAGCTTAAGGCTATAAGTTAAAAACTATAAAATCCCTCAAATAGCCGATTCTGAAATCTAAAAAAATCTGCAGGTGGGACCCCTTAACACGTAGTTATCTCCTGCAGTTGAGCAATTTGTGGTTTTTCTCGTTAATGTCAGCATGATCCCTGAACATAGCTTACATGACAGGATGTCATCAACCTTTGTATTATTTTCTCATTTATTCTAATTTTGTTGTTGTTGTTGATCTTTTGGTATGGTTAGAATAGTTCAGACTGGTTGTGGGTTTCTTTTTCTTATGTGCTTTTCAACACCTAGAGCTGTTGTAAGATAAAAAAATACTGTTGCTGGGGCTGTTCGGGAATTCAGATACTTGAGGGCATTTCTGTCCATATGTGAGAGAATGTCCCTTCCTTGTCCATAACATAAAAAATTGATGTTGTAGATGTGGATTAGGTCATTTAGTTATAGCTGTGAGTCTTTTGCATTGCCTCTCTTTTGCAGTGAATTTCTGTCTGTCTTAAGATAGGTTTTTCTTTTCCCTTTTTCTTTTGCCGTAGTACTGGTAATAAAAACAGCAGGAAAAACTCAATCGTAGTGAAGTCCTGCGTTTTCTCACTGTAATTGTCAGTTTTTTGTTGAAATATCCAATGGGAATGCCAATTAGGAATTTGAGGCATTGAATTGAAACGATAGGAAAGAAAGACTCAACAAAGTGAGGCTTCTCTGGATTTGCTTATTTATTAAATAGCTTAAGTATACATAAGTAAAAAACTATAAAATCCCTCAATTTGCCGATATTTGAAATCTTAAAAATATGCAGGTGGGACCCATTAACACGTAGTTATCTCCAGCAGTTGAGCAATTTGTGGTTTTTCTCGTTAATGTCAGCATGATCCCTGAACATAGCTTACATGCCAGGATGTCATCAACCTTTGTATTATTTTCTCATTTATTCTAATTTTGTTGTTGTTGATCTTTTGGTATGGTTGGAATAGTTCAGACTGGTTGTGGGTTTCTTTTTCTTATGTGCTTTTCAACACCTAGAGCTGTTGTAAGATAACAAATTCGATGTTTTGATTTTACATAAAAGCAATTTATGACAGAGGGGTATACATTATGCAAATATTTAAATAGAATTGAGTCATCAACAACATTTTAGTTGGAGAGTTAGGTCATATAATTAAGTCCTCTGCAATCTTTAGAATTAAGTCCTCCACAACATTAAGACCAGGGTTATTGGATCAGAAATGGTGAAATTGTGTCATAATTTATATGCACCGAAATGTGAAACGATTCTCATTGTTGAAGTAGCCAAACTGGTAAGAGTTAGGTCATATAATTGGTGGGGTTGGATCAAGAATTCACATGCACTATGATCCATCAGTATCATGCAGCAGCAGTTATAGGACCCCCCCCTCTCCCTCTTACTGTTTCAAATATCGCCATAAATGTGAAGCAGATCTTAGTGTTGCTTTTGCATTGCCTCTCTTTTGCAGTGAATTTCTGTCTGTCTCAAGATAGGTTTCCTTTTTCCGTAGGGCTAGTGATAAAAACATCAGGAAATACTCAATTGCAGGAAAAACTCAAGTAGGAATTTGATGTTAAGAATTCTACTCAGCTCAGTCCTCACCTTTCTCTGGATTTGCTTATTTATTCAATAGCTTAAGGCTATAAGTTAAAAACTATAAAATCCCTCAAATAGCCGATTCTGAAATCTAAAAAAATCTGCAGGTGGGACCCCTTAACACGTAGTTATCTCCTGCAGTTGAGCAATTTGTGGTTTTTCTCGTTAATGTCAGCATGATCCCTGAACATAGCTTACATGACAGGATGTCATCAACCTTTGTATTATTTTCTCATTTATTCTAATTTTGTTGTTGTTGTTGATCTTTTGGTATGGTTAGAATAGTTCAGACTGGTTGTGGGTTTCTTTTTCTTATGTGCTTTTCAACACCTAGAGCTGTTGTAAGATAAAAAAATACTGTTGCTGGGGCTGTTCGGGAATTCAGATACTTGAGGGCATTTCTGTCCATATGTGAGAGAATGTCCCTTCCTTGTCCATAACATAAAAAATTGATGTTGTAGATGTGGATTAGGTCATTTAGTTATAGCTGTGAGTCTGCGCATTTGCCCTCAAGTTCAAGCCCCCATTATATTTTCAGAATAGATTAATTTAGAGTAGTTTAAATTAGTGATTGTATAAGACAAGAATCATAAATTGATGTTCACTCCAAAAATATAATGATGAGGGAAGATTAATGTGGAAAAGAGAGATTATGATTAAAAATGGCATAAATAATTTTCTTTTTTAAAAGAGCGTAATATAATAGTCTCCTGTGGAAAATAAAATAGAAAGATTTGTTTTGGGAAAGCTTGTTAAGCACCAGCTGGCTTGAGGAGAACTGAGGAGTTGAGTTGGTGTTGGAACGCGCAAACACCGTCCTAGCGATCAGTGGCGGGCCCACCATCTATTTAACGACTACGGCACGTAGATGAGGAATGCTAGCCGTTATTCCTTTCAAATGCCACAGCTAGCTATCTATCTATCCATCTGTGATGAAAAGAAAAGCGCGGGTGGCTATTGAGTTGAAAACAATAACAAAATGGACAGAATCAAATTCACGTACCTTTCTTGAACAGGTAGGTATGTTGGGTTTGGTTTCGGAGTCTAAAGAAAGAAAACAAAGCATAACTATTTTAACTTTATTTTGAACAAATACAATCATTACTAGTAAATAGGGTTTTAGTGAAAAGGAATAGTGGGATTTTAGACTGTCTTCTTTGCTAAATTTAACAAAGCGAAGAATGGGTTTAGATGAAGGGTTTTATTTTTTATATTTATCATACAGGAAACCATTATTCCGCGTGTGATCACATATATTTTTATGAATCAGAAACTTAATTGTTTTTTTGTTCTTTATACAAGCAGTAGTTGGATATGTAAATTCAATACCTAATGATTCTTTTTCTATAAATTAAGCGACTTTAAGTTGTTACAACTTGGAACTTAGCTTTCACCTAACAAATGTCAATGAGATACACATTAAGAAAATGTATACCAAATCCTTTCTACGTGCTTCCAACTCAACATATTTTTTTGGTCTTTTCTCTGTGATGATGGAAGGATTCAACTCAGCTTCAATTATGCTTATTCTATACGTTTTTGCAGACGTATACATTAGATTGGCAAATCAGTAGATTTTAATGGAGGAGAAAACAAAAAAGAGTAAAATGAGGACGGTTATGTTGAAAACAGAGAGAAGGGGCAGGGGGCATAATAATGAAGGATGACGCCAATGGATGAAGAAGACTTATTATTTGATTATGGAGATTATTAAAGAAATGATAAATAAAGAAACAGCAGGTAGGAATAGGATGATAGGAAGGAGAAAACGTGTTTTGGTTAACGATTCTTGGATGGACTTGGCCACTTGGGATAGGTGTAAACCCTAGATGCCGTCTTCCCTCTTCCTTATTCTATTTTAATGCAACTCCCCCTCTCCTCTCTCTCCTCTCCTCTCTGTAATCTCCATTTCTAGAGAGAGAAAGAAGCTCAACCAGTCAACTATATATTGCATTCCTAATAGTAGGTTGGATTCTGAATGTGGACATTATTTTACTTCTAATTTACTAAGTCTGCCATTGGCATTATGAATTTGGTGGCATTTCCAACTCCTCAAAATACAAAATACAAAAACCAACCCAAAATAATAATAAGTTGAATTAGCATTGTTATAGCTCGATCTCAATGCCTACCCTAAATTGCCGTGAGTCTGTGACTGGGATTTTCATAATCTTTGAAATTGGGTTGGTGGAAATTTATATTGGAAACAATTCTTGGTAGGTAAAGCAACTCCAGATTAAGCTGCTCTTATGTTCCTGTGGCTTAAATCTTTAAGGTGGACAACTTTACATAAATTAAGTTTGATCAAATTTTATAATATTGCAACCACTTCAACTCAGAAGATTCCCACAACAACCCATATTTTTTTGGGATGCCAGATGGTGTGCAACTATTTGAATGTATTTAATGTTTCAGAAACTAAAAACCTCCAATGTTTTTGTTTTTCTTAAATTAACAAATCAAAACCTGATAGTTGAACCACCAACTGGCTTGAAAACTTATGATCCTATTCGTTATTGCTCTGTAACAACATTTATTTATTTTCTCTAGTTCTCTAGTATGGGTGGTGGATGCATTCAAAGCCTTCTGAATCCCATTGAATTGAATATTCATGTCCATCTTGTTATTGTGCCTACAAACTATGCTCCATAAATTGGAACCAAAAAATAATTGAATCAAAGTTACACCCCATTAAGAAGACATTAGGGTCCGGCGTGACAAGAAAATTGTCATCCTCGCTATCTACTTATCTTGCTCTTTTTGTTGGACGAAATTAAAGTTCATATATTATAGACGATAATTATTAAATAATAAACTTTAAAATAAAATTTTGGATAATGAACTTGTAACTCAAGTGATTAAGAGTATTGTCGAATCTCCCTCCCTCAATATCGTCCATATTAAAAGTAAAAATAAAACCTTCTCGGACTCATATATAACATGCAATACTTGGGCTTCATTATATGAAAAGTATGCAAGAATTCTATAGTGAGGGTCTTATATATTGCCATTAGGTGAGACCCTATCTCTTAACTGTTAGATCAAATTAGTTTGCCGTTGGATTAAATTGGTTAACTTGATCCAACGGTTAAGAAATAAGACCTCATTTAAGGGCCATATATAAGACCCTCACGATAGAATGACTCGAAAACTATGATGCCAAATGACTAGCTCATTTTCCGTTGGGCCAAGAGAGTCAATAACCAGGCCTAGTTTATTCCTCAACTGTGGGGTATAGGAGATACCCTAAATTCATGCCAACAGGATCCAGTGGGCCATTAACGTAGGACCCAACAACCTTCTCGAACTGTACCCCCCACCGCCAAAAAGGTCCAAAACGTCATTCTCGTTTCCGTTAACCCATTTCCATGGAAAGCAATTAAAGCTTTCACGGCGTTAGTTTTCACGTTCACTTAACCCCGCGAGTAGTCAACGGCGCAACGTCGACGGACATCATCCTCGCCAAGCGAACAAGCTTTTAGTTTTAACGCGACTTCCCGGTTGGTTCGCTTCGTTGTAACAAATCCCACCGCCCAATTTCTTAAGCGCTAAGGATATATTCAGAGGCTCCTTTCGGGTTTTTCTACTATAAAACCCTCGTCTTCCTCCTCTAACCTCCAACACAGTTACAGCAAACAATCATTAGCCAAGATTTTAAATTCCCAACAAGAAAGAAAAGTTGATTATGGCCCAGGAAGATTTGAGCGTGCAGGTGCAACAACAGATGGTATGGAACATAAACCCGCCGTTTCTTTTTTCTTATTATGTTGTTGATTTGTTTGTTCTTTATTTTTTAATTGAGATTGGCAGTGTTTGGTTGCCGAGAAAATTTGGTTTTTACAACGTAATGGGATTTTAAGAAATACCCAAGTTTTGTAATGGGATTCAGATAAACAAAGAATCAGCTTTCATGGGTATTGTTAGCTCAAGTTTGTTTAAATGTTTTTGTAATTGTTTAGGCTGAGGAGGAGGAACAGAGGCTCAAGTACCTGGAATTTGTTCAAGTGGCTGCAGCTCATGCCTCGGTTTGCTTCTTAAATCTGTACGGATTTGCCAAGGAAAGGTCTGGTCCTTTGAAGCCTGGAGTTGAATCCGTGGAGGGAACTGTGAAGAACGTTGTTGGACCTGTCTATAACAAGTACCATGATGTCCCTGCTCACCTCCTAACCTTCGTGGATCGCAAGGTACCTAACAAATTTCATGTTTAATTAACTCTTTTTCATGCTCTTATGCTATTTGGTTTATTGTGTATACGTAGCACATCGATTATGTTTAGAATCAATCCATTTTTCAATCTTCAATTTATAGTTGGTACATTGCATCCAACTTCAATTGCACAAATTTGATTACGGCATCTGGGTTTTGAGCTTTGGGTTTTGTTCCTTGATAGGATGCATGCTTGCATCTATTTTCGAATTCATAATAGCTTGGTTAATTTGGTTTTTATATTATGATGGTGTGAAGCTTCTTTATTGTGTTCAATGTGCAAGTGGTAAAATACTAAAATTTGTATTGGAACATGTTCAGGTTGATCAATCTGTGACCAAGCTGGACAGTCGTGTGCCGCCGGTGGTTAAGCAGGCTTCATTCAAAGCCTTATCAGCTGCTCAAAAAGCCCCAGAGGCGGCTCGAGCGGTTGCCTCTGAGGTTAAGAGTGATGGGGTTGTAGACACTGCCTCAAGCTATGCTAAATCTGTCTACACCAAGTGTGAACCCACAGCTAAAGACCTGTATGCTAAGTATGAACCAAAAGCTGAGCAATGCGCGGTCTCTGCGTGGCGAAAGGTGAACCAAGTCCTCCCAAAGGTGGCTGAGGTTGTTGTACCAACTGCAGCATATTGCTCTGAAAAGTACAACCAGACAGTGCAGCACACTGCAGAGAAGGGGTACAGGGTCTCCTCCTATATGCCTCTGGTTCCCACAGAGAAAATTGCCAAGGTTTTTGCAGGAAAGGTGCCTGAAGCAGAGCCTTTGGTTGCAAGTCATGGTGAAGTTGATGTTGCCCTTCATTGATAGATATTCAGTGTTGGGTTTTGTGATGTTGTGGTATTAAACTTAAAAAACAGATAGAGGCATGGTTGTTGATTGTTTTTCAAAAGGTTTAATATATATATATATAATATTCTCATGTTTATTTATTTTTATACTTTTCTGTTTGTGATTTAGAAAAGATGAATGTAAATTGAAACATTATGCAGTTAAATATATTGTAGCTTCCGGAGTCCAATTGCCAAATTACGTGTCAATATACTGAGATTATTCCCTAATACGCAAATTTTTTTATTTTATTTATTTATTTATTTTTTTGTGATTGTGCAGAAACAAACATACTTCATGAATCATCCCCTTCTTAAAACTTATTCTAATGAAAAAATTCACTTGATAGATAGTTAAATCGAACTCTAGTGGGGTTTTTTTTCCTCCAATATAACAACGACAAAAATATTTAAACGTCAAAAAGTATATGCGGTGCTTATGATGCCAAGTCCTTTTGCTTTCTGGGCCAAAATTGACAATATCTTGTGGGCTCTAAAAGGGCTCAACAGTCGAACAGAACAACATCCCCCAACCTCTTCCACAGCAAAATAGCATCAAAACACCCAAAGCTTTCAAGGCCTTCCTTCAACTTCAACGAACCAAATAGCATCAGAGCTTCACTTCAATTTCTCTTTCAGTTTCTAACCCAGAAGTGTCACAAAGTCTCACCGATAAATTCAAATGGCAACTAGTTTGCAATTACCAATCTCAATATCAGCGACTTCTTCATCGTCACTTAGAGCCAGAAATACTCGAAAGTTCGCAGCTTTTTGTTCCATTAACGCGAAAGCAAAAGTTAAAATCCCCATTCCTCCAATAAACCCTAAGGACCCGTTTCTTTCAAGGCTCAGTTCAGTGGCTGCCAATTCACCCGAAACTTTACTGAACCGACCTGTTCAAAATTCTGACTCTCTTCCGTACTTGGATTTGTTTGATGAACCTAAGCTCATGGCCACACCTGCCCAAGTAAGTCTTTCTCTCTCTATATGCTTACGTATAGGTAGTTTCTGTTTTTTTTGAAGGATTGAAGCAAAGTTTTCTAGATTAATTTAATGGGTACTAGTGAAATTAGCGCTTGCTAGTTCTTTGTAGCGGAAAGAATCTTAATTTTGTATTGGTTAAGCTGGTTTTGTTCGAAATTTTAGCTATTCTAATAGGTCTTAATGGAATTAGTAGTGTCTGGTAGGACTTTCTGGCTTCTTTCCTTGGGAAATTAGACTTCTTGTTTTGGATTTAAAAAAAAGTAGTGATGTTTCAAAATTTATTAAGAAAGTCTGAATGTTTAGTAATTAAAGAAATTGATTTCCGTGTTATCCTTGAACCCCGGTTAATCAAATTTCTTTTTGTTTGTTTCTCACTCTTATTTGGTTAGTTGGTAAACTGATGATATTCTCTGCTTGAACTAGGTGGAAAGATCTGTTTCTTACAACGAGCATAGGCCAAGGAAACCACCTCCAGACTTGCCGTCATTGCTACTTCACGGGAGAATAGTTTATATTGGCATGCCTGTAAGTTCTTGACCCAATATTCATGTTGGTTGTAGATGCCATCTTCTGAAAGTAGCAAATCATGGTATCTTTTCATAGTTTGGGGTGAAATTGAGAAGCCCAGAGCGTGTCTTCAGTGCAGACTGTGCACCTTGAGGGTGTTCTCTGGTTACTTCAGAAGGGGAAATATGACTAAAATGATACGAGACTAATGCTGATATTCATTCCTAATAGGTTTTAGTCAGTCTTATTGTCACTTCCTTCTTGCATTTTGTGAAATCTGTTAAAAGTTGCTTTGATGTTTCAGTTAGTACCAGCAGTCACTGAGCTTGTTGTTGCGGAATTGATGTATCTGCAATGGATGGATCCTAAACAACCAATATATATTTATATCAATTCTACTGGAACCACTCGTGATGACGGTGAAACGGTAAGTCTGGTGTTTATTATCAAAACATGATGCATATGAAATGCTCTCTCTCTCTCTCTCTCTCTCTCTCTCTCTCTCTCTCTCTCAATTATCTATTTTATGTATTCGAAATGCTTATTGCTCAGGTTGGCATGGAGTCAGAGGGGTTTGCTATCTATGATGCAATGATGCAGTTGAAAAATGAGGTGATTCATTTTAAGAATTGTTTCACTGCACATAGTTATTTGCTCTACTTGGTGGTGATGATGGTGTTAGTTTGCGTGGGTGCGGGTTTGGAGCTACATAGTGTGTTTCTAGATTAGCAATTGTGCTTAGGGATATGCATATGCATGCGGTGGCACCACATCAGTGCTGCAGATGTGTTGCTATGATGCTAACGCTCGAAAATGGTTGTGAGGCAGTGAGAGTGGCAACTGTTGATTGGGTTTATAAATTCTATGAATAATATTTAGTTTTATATGCACTTGTATCAACTTCCCACACCCCAGAGGATATGTGCTAAGTGACCTGGCCACTGACTGAAAAGTAGGGGAATGGTATGCATTTGGTAATGATATGAATATTCTACCTTTTATCTTATTACATAGTTGCTCTTGCTTATTCAGATACATACGGTTGCCGTTGGGGCTGCTATAGGTCAAGCTTGTCTCTTGCTTTCAGCAGGAACTAAGGGCAAACGATTCATGATGCCACATGCCAAAGGTATGATGCATTAGGCTTTTTAAGTGTGCAATCCTTGACCTTTAAAACTTTCATAATTTCCCTCAATCCTGTTTCAGCCATGATCCAACAGCCTCGTGTGCCATCATCTGGGCTGATGCCTGCTAGTGACGTTCTTATTCGTGCAAAAGAGGTGATCCCCTGTTTCATTGCTTTCCACCATTTTAATATGGTGAAAGACTGATTGTTTCAAATTCAATGTTTTCCATTCCTTGTTCTAGTCCTAAACATGTATTTGTTCATCATGTCTTTATTTGTTTGGTCTCTGAACTTCTCTGGAGGAGTAAAAATAGAAAGGTTTCATTCACATCAACATTTTCTGTTCAATATGCAATATAATGATAGACATATACTGAGCTCTGGCTTAAGATTTCATTCATGAGGTGACAATCTTTTTTATTCAAGTTCTGTGTGGATTTTATGGAAATTTCAACACTCTCTGAATTTGCAGGTAATAACAAATAGGGACATTCTTATAAAGCTTCTGGCCAAGCACACAGGAAATGTAAGCTCTTTTTATAAGATTTAATCAGCAGCAACATATGAGCAAAAACTAAGGAACTTATCTTTTCTTGTTTATTTTGTATTAGTCAGTAGAGGCTGTTACTAATGTGATGAGAAGACCATATTATATGGATTCTACAACTGCTAAAGAATTCGGGGTGATTGACAAGGTAAGTCCTTTTAGATTGTCTTATGTAGTTTGTTTCTTCAATTTTGTGGAAAATTGACTGATGGGAACATTGCATGCAGATCCTTTGGCGTGGTCAAGAAAAGATAATGGCAGATGTAGCCTCCCCTGAGGAATGGGACAAGAAAGCTGGTGTCAAAGTTGTAGATGAACTTAGTCTCTAGTGGGTGCAATGTTGTCATTATAGGTAAGTTAACCTTTTCTTCATTATGCAACAATAGTGCTTCATGGGGTATTTTCAAATGTGAAAATTATCATTTTGATTGGGCTTTCTGAAGGACTCTGCGAACTTAGCGATGGGGCAAACTAGTCAATTCAGTTTTCATGGGGAAGAATGCAACTATAATAATAATTGCTTGAAAATTCATCAAATGATGCTGCAAATTTATATTCTATATGGTGGTCATGCAATGGACAGAAATTTGTCTATTGTCTTCCTAGCCTTGAGCTAGACTTTCGCACCTTGGCTTGATTTGATATTTCACTCCATCAGCGTATGAGTGTTAGTGTGATCTGGGCTATTTGCAACTTGAATAAAATGGCATGAACGACAAATGGGCTGTTGTTCTGGTACTTCAAATTGTTTCTGTAATGGTTGATGGCTCAAGATTGGGCCTGAAAAATACCAGCAATGCATGGTTATACTAGAACGTTGCAAGATAGTGTGGCTATTTAGTTTTATTTTGGTTCATGTATGTTAATAGTGTTTTTGCTTGCAAGATCCTTTCAAGAACTAGGTTTCTGATTGGAATGCTTCTCTTGGCGTGTAGGAATTCTTACTTGGTTACTAAATGTAGAAGAAATTACATGATCGGTCACTTGTTGGGATTCTTTGGTTATTGGTTGAAGCATGAATGAATGTAAAGAGCGTCGAATCATCTTATGGGGAGAATATAATTGCAGGAATCTGAAGTGGCCTGTTTAAGAGGAAGATTTGGATGGAAGAGATTGAATACTGATGCCAAATTGAATTGCCGCTGGAACAATTTGGAGGGTGCACGAACACGGACGTTCGAAGGTTACGAGGGGTCAGACTCTTTCTATGTCCTAATTGAAGCGCTGTAGATTTATCGAATGTAATATTTTGGTCAAGTTTTTGGGTTTACAGATGATGTTCATGCTTGAGGGTAACCAATCCTTTCTTAATAATATTTCGAATTCAACATGTATGGCATGCATGGTTTGCAAAGACTATTTAATGGGTCGCTTACCCATGCAGTTGATGCATATTCTTTGAAACAATTTATTGGTGAAGATGGCCATGGCGACCCAATTTTTTGGTTTCTTTAGTGTTGTCATTATTTATTTATTGGGGGGGGTAGCAATTTGTCCCTCGAGTTTCGGCAGCACAATGCTCTCAGCATGTCCTGTGGAGAAGATGTTTCTTTAAGCACTACTTGATCTTGATACATGACAATATATAAATTACAATTCAAAAAGATAGGTATATGTACAAATGTGTGTACATATGCAAGCATTCATTTATGCGTACAGGCATATAAATAAGAAGCATGCAAAATTTATGTGTTACTCAAAACAAAACGTAGTCAAGGACCCTCTAATGCCTAAGTCAGTATATGATGTCAAGGAGATGTAGATATGACTGCAAGGAATGGAGTCATAAAGAAATTTGCCCAAACAATATGCTTAGCCCTAGCTTTGTGGTCTGCACCTAACCAATTCCACCAGAAGCATCTTTGTCAGGCATACTGCCTGCCGCTGCCGGCCGCCGCAAGGACGCAACGGTGTTATAAAGAAATTTGCCCAAACAATATGCTTAGCCCTAGCTTTGTGGTCCGCACCTAACCAATTCCACCAGAAGCATCTTTGTCAGGCATACTGCCCCGCCGCAAGGACGCAAACGGTGTTTTAAGGACGAGGAGGAAACTATATTTTCATCATCGCTTAAAATTTGCAATGATATTACTGATATATAAATGACGAGGTTAAGGTTGAGGTTAAGATGCTGCTGAGCTTCTCCTTATTTTTTGTGCTCGCATTTCATTTCATTGTGATGGGATCTTTTGCCCATATACGCATGCTTATCCCATTCCCATGGATGTTTGGTTATGCAATCCTGCCATAGAATTAACAAAAGAATTCAACCTTCCTCCCGATTCCTGTCTTCTTCATCAAATATTGAGAGACACCTATGCATTCGGCATTGTATTTTATTAATTCAAATATCTATTTTATTCATTTAATAATTTTTTTTACAAAAAAATTACTTGAATATGACATCATTTAACCACAATTATCCATCAGATAGTCTTGAAAAATATACGAAAATTGGTAGTGAGCCCAACGAGTATACCTCAGATAAATTATTTTTCATTTGAGTCGAGAATTAAACCTTCTTGTTTTTGAGAATTAAACTTTCTAGTTGTAAGCTCAGAACCACACACAAGACTCGAAATGAGAGAGGAGAGGGAAGAGCGCAAATGGGGAAGCCCTCTCTCTCACTCGGATTGACAATCTTCGTCTCCCTCTCTCTCACAGCCTCCTCCTACTCCATCTCATCCTCTTCTTCATGTTCCCCAATCTTTCTCAAACCATCTTCACCATCAACATCTCCCAAAGCCACCCCTTCAGACCTGCTCTCTTTGCTGGGCTCCAAATCCCAGTCTTCAACCATTAACCCACTTGTAGCCCAAGAGCTGTCTTCTTGCTTCAAATTCCTCGTACCCTTTACGCCAAATGTCAACAAATTGTGCCAACAAAAGTATCCCAATAGAAAAGTCTTAAACTTGAAGCAAAAGGGTGATTTATGTCAACGGGAGGAGGAGGATGAGCTTGTTTGGTGGCCTCCTCAGCCGGTTTTGGAGCTTGCTCGCCTCGCTGTTGACTCTGGTGGAGACCCAGCTGCTATTCAACGTGCTTTGGATCCCACGATGATCACTGTCAGTCTCTTTTTCCTCTTTTCCTTTAGCAATTGCCGATGCCTCATGTCTATGTTTGCCTTTTGTGCTTAGATTTGGCGTAAAATTGTTACTTTGGTTTGGCAGCATTCCGATAAATTGTTGTCGGGTGCTTAACAGTTCTTTTTCTGGAAAATTCATGGATACTTTTCCGAAATTGGTCTTCATTGTGTAGGTCTTTCCCCATTTTGATTACACTTAATTGGGAGATTGCAATTTATCCACACATTTACATCACCCTGTTCCAGAAAGTGGCTCTAACTTCTGGCATATTATGATTATACTTATGTGGGTGTTCCATATACACATTGATGGTGTCATCTCATAACTATAACTAAGATTTATGACGAAATGTATTGTCTGGGTTGTTTTACTAGTCTATCTGTACACCAGTTGTAACTGGAGGATGTTTAATTTAGTAATGCATTAGGTACCTGATGTTGAAGGATCAAAAGTGAACCGATGTGAGCTTACTAGAACTCCATATGGGAGACGCTTCATAAGTGAGGTAGGTTTGCATCAAAGGAATGAAACTTCAAATTTTCGAGTTAACCTCTGGTCAAGAAATTAATTCTCTTTTTGAATTCATATAGTGCTCTTCTGTTGCACTGCAGGAGTTGAATTCATATCTTGAATTTTTATTTGAACTTATTCTAGCTCGGGGTCCCGCCGTTGGGTTGAATGTGTCGTTGAGTCGCTATGATTTATTCCATGGCCACCTTTTTCTTGCCATAGACACCGGAAGACTTGGTATATTGTAAGTTGGTATCTTTCTTACTGCATCCTTTCTTGTATTGTTGGTACCATAAAAGGCTGAGAAAATATTAGACCTAAGTTGCAGAACGGACAATGTTTTACCTATCATTGGTTATTTCAAGAACATATCTTTTTATGTTTGACAGATTCCATGCCAAAGAATACCCTGCATATGATAAAGAAGTATTTCCATATAATATGGGCTACTGTCAAGTAGGTAAAGATGCCTTGATTACATCTTTATTTTTGCAATTCTCAAAATCTGTTTTGGTACTCTAATACTAGCTGTTCTGTCTTCCAGAGTGACTTATCTGAAAATAGAAAAATTAATGAAGAAAGAACTTAAAATGAAATCCTCTTTTTAGCTGTATTAAGTAGTTCCTCAAATTTTTTGGTTCCTCATGTCAAGCAATTACAATTGGTTAGATAACATGGTAATTTCTTGTGGTGAAATGTTTTTGTTACACCTGTTGTTCTTATATTACATCTCTTAGGGTCTAATGTGAGATATGATGATTCAATGAACTTGCGAAATATCCTCTGGCTGGCTCCATTGCCAAGCAATTCAACTAAAGCTTGGGTAGCACCAGGTACCTTTCCATAACCAATGCACTAAGATATACTGTTGGTGATTAGTAAAAAATGAACCATAGGCTAATTCTTTTGTAATAAAAGTTATGTAATACTGCTTGTTGATTTTCAGGTGTCCTTGTAGCGCTGGATGCCCATCCAGAAGGCATCATATATAGAGATCTCATACCTGAATATGTAAATTTTGCTAGGACAATATATGAAGGTTTGAACTTCCATTATCATTTTCACTCCCACATGGGTGATATGCCATTTTCCGTTTCCTAACATAAGTTCCAGAAGATTAAGAATTTTTCATTGGTTCTGGTCAGACGATCTTGGGGAAGTTGCAGTTGATGTCAACTATTTGGATGTGGGAAATGCAAAGTCGAAGTTCCAACTTTTTATATGCTGATGCTCTTTTCAAGGTTTGTACCATATGCTTTCTCTTCATCGCCTAGTCTATTATGCAACAATGCCAAGTAACCATGTAAGGAATCTACCTTTGTTTTGTTCTGTAAGTAGTACTATAAATCTTCCTTGGTTGTGTTCTCTTTTCATTCTGATAGATGAAACGAGATGATTTTTAATTTCTTTTCGGGGCACATTTGCAGTTATTTATCATGGATCAACCTCAAATGCGATATGAGCCAAATATAAAGTCTCAAGTAGGCTGGCCAGGATATGATTCCTTTGGTTCGATTGTGGAAAGTAAGATCCAAGGGTACACAGGAGATGCGCTGGTTTGTTCTTGCTGCAGATTTCGCTAGGCATGCAAGCCTAATTTGCCAGTGTCAGTGCAAGTGTGGCTGTGCTGTTTCCCCTTTACTTCTGTTCCTAAGTGTGGAGCTCTGCAGATGAACTCACCAATTCATTGTTTCTAAATCATCATTTCTTCCCCCTAATCTAATGGGGATGTGATTTGTAAAGAATGTCTTGGTTACTAGCTTGTTAATAAGAAATCATAGATAATTGCTTGAAACAGAATGATAAATTAGAGTTAAAAGAAAAAAATTAAAAAGAGGAATCATGCAACAGTGTTCAATCTCTCATAATGAACTTGATTTCCCTATTAAACTAGGCCACAAAATGACATTTCCCTCTATTAGAAACTGGAATTATTATAGAGCAAACTCTAAAGCCCAAACCTAGAATATTTGCAGATCATTAGTGTTACCCCCTGATCACTCTTACTTGTGAAGAAGCCGAATATTTGTATTTTGGGTCGGGTCGGGTTGGGGTTACACCGGGACACCCCCGCCTAAATCTCCCATCATGAATAAAAGAGGAGAAAACGAACACCCGGAGGTTAATTGGGATTTCTTTCTTGTGCCCACACCATTTTCTCGACCTTTTTGCAATTTTCAGTCCTTTGGGTAGGTGCCTGCCTGCCACAGGGGGGTGTGAGGGAGGGTTTTACAGTAGCCAGCCACCAAACACCTCAAACAATCTACAATCATCTTCATCTCAAACTCTGTTCATCGTTCCGTTGCCAAGACTTCAACTTTCAAGGTAATAAGTTTACTTTCTCTCCTCTTCTCTTCTCTCTCTCCCTCATTTTTCTCTGCAAACAAACTTAAACCCGTGCTTTAGAATAGTTGAGTGACATTTGCTTCTTCTTCTTCTTCTTCTTCTTCTTCTTCTTCTTCTTCATGATGAAGTGCTGTATTGTTGATTTTGTCGTTTGCAGATATGGTGTTTGTAAAATTGCCTCTTAGACAATTTGTGTTAGTGTTATATGACCTATAATTTGTTGGGCAATCTCTAAAGTGAACTAGTTTGCAGTAATGGCCATGGAAGAGCCAAAAGACCCGTTCAAAGGGGTGGATTGGAAAGCTGTTGGTAGTGACATGCAGAAGGACCCCAGTGTTAAGCCGGGCATAAAGAAGCGGCTTCCCAGAAAGATTAGGCAGATCCCAGATTGCTATTTTCTTCCTCGAAGATCCCTACCCTATAACATTGCATTCTTTGGAGCATGTATTGCTGGTGGAATTGGTGCTGGGATGCTGCTGGAGGTCTGGATAAACAAGAAAGTTAAAGGTACGTATGCCCTATAATCCCGAAAGTTTCCAGCTTTGCAAGTTTAATGCTTTTGGTTAGATGCACTGTATATCTGAGCCTTGTCCATGGTGGATTTAGGGGTTTATGGTTTAAATTACACATTCAGAACATTAGGAATTACGAAAGGAGACGTTAAAATAAGAAATCTATGATCAGATTGCTGATGTTTTATGGTTCTACTTTGTTGTAGTGCTTAGCCTATACTTTTCTGATTGTTTGAAGTTTCATCTCTTGGTTTTTACTAGTTGTATTTCGAAATAGAGTTTATGGGCTAATATATCATGCTTTGGTGCTGCAGATGATGGAGGGGTCATATGGGAGTTTGACAAATGAAGCCTAGAGAGATGGAGTTGTTAATGCGATGGCATTACAAATTTCCCCTCTACTCTCTCTGCCTCTTTTCTCTTTCAGAATATTCTTAATGAGAGATAAAAAAAACTGTAAAGACAACTGAGTTTGGTTTCTAAGCTAATGTCTGGTCTTGGCATTTTGATAATGAGCTTACTATATTGTTTTGATATCGGCTCTCCGTTCTGTTTCGACTTTGATTTTCAGATTATAAGAACTGATCACAACTTTGTCATTTTTCATACATATTCCACAACTTCTCATCTTTGGAGAAGATCACAATCGTCCAATAGTAGAATAAACTGGGGGAAGGTCATGATTATTTTTTTCTTTAAACAAGCCATAATTGGGATTATGTTTTCTTTATACAAGCGATATTGAGATTATTTTTTCTTTATGCAAGCGAAAACACAACACCCAGGGTGCATGGAAATCTACTCTTAACCACGATTATCAATTATTTACAAATAACTAAATCCTTTCTCTATCTAAGGAAGATAATGACTGAAATTAAATTAGTACTTTTTTGAAGATAAATCTTTACACCAAGAGTCGAGAGTTATTATAAAAATTTTAAAAAAGAAAAAAGAGATTCACTATTATATCAAATATAGAGGCTCAAATTATAAAAAAAATTCTACATGAAATAGACTCTAGAAACACACTCAAAGGTCATTTACAACATAACAAAGAGGGCTTCGAATTTTTTATAAATTACAAAACTGCAAAACAAACCCAACTCTAAAACCTCCTAAAAAAACTTAATAAGGCATCAAAGTAATTTAATAATCAAAATTAAATTCAATAGGGCCAGCTGTCATATTTTGGTTTATTTTTATAGAAATTAAATGGTGTAGAGTTTATTTATATTATTAGTGCTAAGAATGAGTATATAACTAAATATCTCAAAAAACGAAAGCTTTCGTAGACTAATTAGAGAGATTTTTAGGGTAATAATCCGAACAAAACGAGTAGTTTTTAAGTGCGCCCTACGCACCAAGGTACATCGTGCACCCCGGCACAACACAAAAAAGGCTTTGCCGCATACCACTTCCTTCCTCTCTCTCGCTCGCTATACTCGCGCGTAGGCTTGGCTACTCTCTCTCTCCTCTCTGTCTTTGTTTGATCTTGTGCTCTCTTCTGATTCAATCTCTCTGTAATTGCGCGTGCATGTTTGTAAATGGCTGCCGCGAGGGTCGAGCGTGGCGATCTGTGGAAGAACAAGGCCCTGTCCGTACAGCTCCGGCTCAGGGAGCGGTTCAGAGTGGAGGTGGACCGCCGGCTCAAGCTCCACCCAATTTTTACAGACGGCGGTTACTTCTCCTCAACATTCCAGCGCTGGCTCCAGCGCTTTCGTGACTTCCGCAGAGACTCTCTCCCTTCTTCCACTGTTTTTTATCGCAAACGAGGTATTTTCTCAATTAATTTTTTTTTTGTTTGTGTTTGTTTCCATTTTCTTTTTCGGAGCCGATTGAAATTTTTTTGATGTGTTTCTGTTATTACTTTTTCCGTATTTCTTAAAAATTGCAACTTTTTTTTTAATAAGATTCGTGGCGGTTGACTTTGTTTAGGCAGTGAAGAAGTCTCGAATTTTTAGTTTTATTTAGTTAAAATTGTTTGATGAATGTAATTCACTCTCTCCTAGTCTCTTGCAGTTCAAAATCAGTTAGCTAGCTAGCATGCCAGGCAAGACTAGTTATGTTTCAAATTAGTAAGAAATTAAGAATTTCTGCTGGGTGACGATTTTGGGTTCCTAATGCCTCGCATTTTGTCAGTAACCAATGTTCCTTTTTTTTCGTTAATCATCTGAAATTTTTTGGGTTTGAAGAATTTGTAAGTGTTTATAATAGCGTTTGTTTAGTTTGCACTTCTATCTATAATCTAAACATGTGGGAATTGCTGAGAGTTTTTGGTCAGAACCATAATAAAAGGGTGATTTTTGTTTTTGCTGCCTGCAGTGGGTAAGGAATTCAATGTTGAAGAAGAATCAGTCCTTCTTCGCATGCTTCAAGCTGTGGCTGTTCCAGTGATTGGCAATGTTTGCCATGTGTTTATGAATGGATTAAATCATATTCAGGTATGTGAACTTATGCGGAATTGATATAACCCAACACCTTTTTTTCTACTTTTGAGGGCTGCACGAATAATTTGGGTTTTGGGTGTGATAGGTTTATGGTGTAGAAAAATTACATGATGCGGTGCTACGCAGACCCAAAGGCCAGCCTCTAATAACGGTAGAGCCCCATGATCCTATTCTATGGATCTAAAACTGAGTGTATTTTAATCTATTGGATTAACCACCATTTGCTCCTCCACTTTCAGGTTTACCATTGTTGAATTATGATGGTTTCTTTATGTATTCCGTTTCAGGTGAGCAATCACGTTGCTTCTATGGATGACCCGCTTGTTCTTGCTGCATTGCTTCCTCGACATGTTCTTCTGGATGCTCAGAACTTGAGGTGGACACTGTGTGCCACTGATCGATGTTTTGCAAATCCTGCAACTTCAGCATTTTTTCGATCTGTCAGAGTCTTGCCAGTTTCTCGTGGTGATGGGATTTATCAAAAGGTATTCTTTGAAATATGTCTTTAAGGTTTGTTGCATTGCTGACTTTTTAAGTGATGCTATAGTGTGATAACCACGCCCATGTGATTCAGGGTATGGATACAGCTATTTCGAAACTGAATCAAGGTGGTTGGGTGCACATCTTCCCAGAAGGTAGTCGTTCTCGAGATGGTGGCAAAACCATGGGGTCTTCCAAGAGAGGTGTTGGGAGGTGAGGATCTTGTTGTGAAAGTGTGCTGCAGAGAGAAGATTCCCCTTTTCTTGGATTCATAGTTTTTTAAATGAATTTTTTTGGGGGTTGGCTCCCAAGCTTTGGTCTTTGAGCTTTGAGCTTTGAGCTTTGAGCTTCATTGTAAAGAGATGTGTCTTCCTTTTGAATAGTAACTTTTGGCACATTGGTTGCAGCTGCATTTGGATACAGTGCTCTTTTCTTTGGAACACTATTTGATGACTGTTGCATATTCTTACTTGGCAGGTTGGTCCTTGATGCTGACAATATTCCTATGGTTGTTCCATTTGTGCATAGTGGGATGCAGGACATCATGCCTATTGGTGCCAGCATTCCAAGGATTGGCAAGACGGTAGGTAGTCTAATGCTTGCTATTCTCAATAGATGTTCAGTTTTTCGCAACTCAGTGTCCTTTTGATATGGTGATGGTGTTATCTTTCCAGTCAGATATTCTTTTAATACTTTAGCAATCATATGAGTGAGGGGATAGGCCTTTTTATCCAGTCTTTTGGAAAATGTAGGTGACGGTGGTTATTGGAGATCCAATCTATTTTGACGATCTGTTAAATTCTGAAGGAGCTAAGCATGTATCAAGAGGAAAGTTGTACGATGCAGTATCTTCAAGGATTGGACATAGACTGCGTGAACTGAAAGTTCAGGTGGACAAATTGGCTCAAGTGACTCGGCCCCAAAATCTT